TGATGAGGGGAGGGAGGGGAAAGGCAACAACCGTTTCCTTGCTGAACTCAAAAAGACCAGAGCAAATCTGCGATAAGGCCCAGGATGGCTGTTTAGAAAGGCTGAATGAGTGGGGTAGGGAAACTCGGCCCTTGCAGCCCCGCGCCTGCAAAGTGAGCCCTTGGCAGCTGAAGATCATCAATTTGTGTGAAATTCTAACAGAGTTTGGACTGGGAATCGGAGAGAGATGAGCCAAAAAGAAATTTAAACAGAAAAAAAATCAAAAACCGGCCACCTTTTGAGTCTGTACCATCAGAGCAGCATTTTGGGTCTTTCCAGAGCAAATCATCAGTCAACTCTGAAAACTTAGGTGGGCTGTTTGTGTGAAACACGTTACTCTTTGTTATACAGTAAGCCGAAACCACAAGACTCATTTCACTCCGAACCTCAAAATACACCCAGCACTACACAACTCCTCCAAACCCCTGCAACATCCCCGCTCTTAATATGAAGAGTTTAAACTTCTTTTACAATCCCTATTACAGGGTAACACAAAGCATGTGCTGGGTTCCCCAAACCATTATCCTCTCGAGAAGAGAGTCACATCAATGATGCATTTGCCCTGGAGTTTCTGCAGCAGCAGGTTGTAACCTGAGCACAATAACCAGGTTTTCCCCACACAAATCAATGTCTTTTTAGTTTCTGCTGCTGTTTCGAGCAGGGCCACATGAGCCCGCGCCACCACGGAGCAACACGGCCAAGGCGGAGAGAGAGAAAATGAACTGCTGCCACAAATACTCTTCCTTCTGCCCACAGAAACCAATATCCAACAGGAACCAACGCCAATGCAACCCGACAACAGACCGCGTTCCCTACATCGTCCTCCCGGCCGCACTGGACCACGCGCTACCCGGAGACACGATGGCAGCAGCGAGGAGGGGATGGCGCACAGTCCTGTTCTCAGCATCTCCGGGTCTGAGGAGATACACCCCGCACCCCCAACTCCACAAGATCACTTGGCACGCAGATGCTCAGAAGCAAGTACAATGGATTTTCTTAAATCTGTTTGGTTTCAAGCTGAAAGTCAAAGAGCAAACCCACGCTGATAAAATTGTTGCTACCTCCCTTTGAGCCACGCTCAGCCCTACTCTTTGAAGGAAGAGCCGCTTTTCTTAAAATATATTTGAATGTGCTATTTTTGTTTTTATCTTAGAAGGCCCCATTTCCCCTCCCAGCCCCGCAACTGATTACAATAATAGGTTTCTCAGAGCCAGACAAGTTGAGAAGAGGTTTTAGAACTCCAAATGCTGCCTCCTTTTTTTATTTGAGTTCCAAGGGCAGCCTCCTCACACCCCACCCTACAAATACTTGACACTTGCAGAAGTGTAAGCACAGTAACTCTGTGAGTAGAGTAAATCTGCTCTTCCAAGCAGTGCCGTGAAGCCAGGCCACGTAAATAGCCCAGTGCACGGCAGAATTCACACCTGCACTCAAGGATGCTTCTGCTACATCTTACAGGTGGAAGAGAGGCAGAAAGATCCCTTAATTTTAGGGAGACAGGAAAACATACAGTTCTGATGGTAATTTTTCAGTGGAAGCTATGCAGCCCCCCCCAAAAAAAAAACCACAAGGGGAGAAAAAAAGCCTGTTTCCATATCAACAGTTATTTTATCTCTATTAACTGTTGCTTGCTTTTTTCTAAATAAACGTATTTCTACGCTTATTTTCACAAATGAAACTGCCTTATCTTGCAAATTACGATGACACAGCATAATAATGTGAGAACAACCTCCCAGAATCTCACGATGCCATCACGGATTGCAGAGCCCTCCTGCTTCAGTTTACTACTGTCCCATTGCAGTACTGGAAGAGAAGAGCCTTCCTGAGCACTGTGCTGAGTAAGCGTTCAAGTGCCACATTCCTCATTTGGTTAGAGCAAACAAAAACAGATTAGAATACAATGAAAACACTCAGAGCAAAATATTAGCTTACTGCTTTAGGAAACCTACCGGCTACGACAGGACTGCTCTTCTTATGCTTTCGTCACACTCGCTGCCAAAGCCCAAGCTAGAAGCTCAACGTACGATGGCAAGCCTCACCGTACCACTGGGAGAATCCAAATGGCCGGCACAAAAGAAGTAATCAAGTTTGGAGTTTAAAATCTGGGAATTCCTTTTACCTACCTAGAGTAGTTGAGCGCTACCCAAAAGCGAAACAAACCCGATGCAAGGACTCATTTGTGGCCTTAAACGCAGAGTGGAGTGTTCTCAGAGACAGGTCATAAGTGGTAACGTGAACGCAGAGAAACGTTAAGTGGATAAGACATGGAGACCTTTTTGGTCTGTCCAATACAACGTGAGTCAATGGCAGAGGTTAGTCACACTGTGGTTTATTCATGCTCCTGCTGGGCCAAGCAGGGGTGATGCAAACACTGGAGGCAGGATGCTTACCCAGCTACCTCCTGGCCTCTTTCCTCTCTCCCACGGCGGGATGCCAGCAGCAGGACATGCACTGATAGCAGCATGATTAAGCTCTGGCCTTAGTTCACCAAGAGGCCGGTTCTGTACTCCTCACTCAGGCCAGCTTCCACAGTGAAGTGCAGGAACTGGAGCGTTCTTGGCTCTTCAGGAACCGCTGGTTTGACTGCCATGCCGACAGTGCTGCTCCGATCCATTCTGGAGCCTCCCAGCTTTAGAAACACAAGGCACTTATCCGTGGTGGCAGAACAGATCCTAAAAGTGTTGATTTGTGCCAGAACTTTTGAGGAGGGTATAATTAAGCCTTTTTTTTTTCCAAACTGTATCAGAGTATCAGTTACAGAAGACAAATGCAGACAACACATTTTCTTTCTATGAAAAATCACTTATCTAAATTTCAAACAAATACATTTAATCACAGAATCCCAGACTGATTTGGGTTGGAAGGGACCTTAAAGCTCACCCAGTTCCAACCCCCTGCCACGGGCAGGGACACCTTCCACTAGAGCAGCTTGCTCCAAGCCCCTGTGTCCAACCTGGCCTTGAACCCTGCCAGGGATGGGGCAGCCACAGCTTCTCTGGGCACCCTGTGCCAGCACCTCAGCACCTTCACAGGGAAGAGCTTCTGCCTTAGATCTAACCTGAGCTCGCCCTGTTTCACTTTGAACCCATCACCCCTTGTCCTGTCGCTGCAGTCCCTGGTGAAAGGTCCCTCTCCAGCATCCTTGTAGGCCCGTTTCAGACAAAAGTGCTGCAGCCCCTGATCGTCTTCCTGGCCTCCTCTGGACCTGCTCCAACAGCTCCACATGGTCCTGATGTTGGGGACACCAAAACTGCATGCAGTTTCTTATGTCCTTAAAACATTTATTTGTTTTAAGCACAACAGCATAGCTTAACTTCCACGATGCGCACGCGTGGACACAGCATCGGAGAAGCAGCACCTTTGTTGTTAAACACGTGCCTCGGACAAGCCTTAGGGAAAAAGGCAACATACCAACCAGGGCACATCACGGCCTGTCACTTCAACAAAGCGCAGTGGGCTATTTCTAGGTAGATGCGTTAAGGAAACGGCTCCATTCTGATCCCAGTTAACATCCAAACAAGAAAGGGTTTGCACATACACCAACACTGGAAGGTCGGGTCACACCATCCTACACTGTGCAGGTCCGGGGAGCTTGTGGGTCCGGGCAGCAGGGCAGCCCGGGCTCAAGCTCGCTGGGCGAGCTCTCCCCTCTTCCTCCCATACTTACAGTCAAACTATAGCTGTCAAAGAGACACAACTTCTCCCCCAGCGATTACCTGCCCAAAACATTCAGCACGGTGTGAAGCACTTTGTGTCGTTTTCCATCAATAGCTTAGTTACGGGTCATCGTGTTTATTTTGCCGCTATCGTATCAGGCTGCAAACACCTATAAGCCTCAGCAGGAGCTACCTGAAGCACGACCAGGGCTGATGCACTAGGACAGCCAGCACAGGTCAGATTCTCCCGGACCCCGCCAAGTTCCCATCTCGGACAGCCAAGCCTGTCTAGTTGTGGGGCAGCCGCGAAAACCACTCTGTAAAGTCAGCAGAAGGATGAGTAGGCATTATCCATTTATTAACTGGTGAACTGCCAGTTAATCTGACATGCAAATCACCTCTTTGGTATTTAAACACCTGGCCAAGAGTTGCTGCTGTTCGTTCCCCCCTTACTCCCCCCGTTTCGACGGGCCATAAAGCAAAGCCCTCCCGCACCCACCAGCACCCATCGGGCGCAGACACCCGCGTTCATCCAGACCAAGTTCTCCCGCGGCCGCACGGAAGGGAGCCGAGGGCCGCCTCATCCCCAACACCGACGCCGAGCGCAGCGGTCGCGCCCGCCTCTGCTACTCGCCGCCGGGGCCGGGCCGAGGGGACCACCGCTGGGACACAACTTCCGCGCCCAGCCGCCCTTCCCCGCCTCCCCTGCGCTCAATCGGCCGGGAGCGGGAGCAGCGCCGCGGCGGGGCGCGCCGGGACCCGCACCCTGCATCCTCCCGCCCGGGCCGCGCAGGTACCGGGCACCCCGCGGCGGCGGAGGAGGAGGAGGAGGCGGCGGCAGCAGCAGGGCCTCGCCTCCCGGGCGCTGCGGACCGAAAGTGAGCCGCAAACTGCAAACTTTCTATTTTACCCCTTTTCTCTCTTTTTTTTTTTAATCCCCTCCCGCCCAGCGCAGCCCCGGCTCCTGCAAAACCGAAACTTGCGAAGCGTTCGCCCTACCTGGCGTGGAAGCCTTGCAACAAGTGCAGGCGCGGGGCGTGTGTCGGCGAGCAGGGCGCAATCGCGATATGAATTTATGACAGAGCTGCCCGCGCTCGGTCCTTACTGCACTTACAGTGCGACGCTCATCCTGTAAACAAATATCGCTCCGCCAGGAAACATACTCCCCCCCGGCCCGGCCCGGCGCGGCGCGGCCCCGCTGCCCGCTCCCACCCCGGGGCGGCGGCACATGGAGCGGAGCGGAGCGGGGCGGGCGCCGCCGCACCCCGCACGGCGCAGGGGGAGGCTCCGGGCAGAGGCACTTACCTCGGCGCGGCCTCCCCGCGCCGCCGCGCTGCCTTTGCGGGTCCGCGGTGCGGGGAAGGGAAAGAAAAAGAAGGGTAAAAAAAACCAAACCAACCCCCGGTGTCAGCAAATCGCTGTCAAATTATTCCCTCGCAGGGGAGAGGGAAGGGGGGAAGCAGAAGCAGAAGGGGGAGGAGGCTGCGGGAGGCGGCGGGATCCCTCCGCCGCGATGGGTCTGGTAGCGAAGCAGGAAGTAAGGTGTCGGCGGCGCGGCGGCCGGGCTGAGGGCTGAGGGGCACCCGCCACCCCGCGGGCCCGCCGCCGGCCCTGCGCCTGCCGCCGCTTCCCTCCCGCTCCGCCGGCGGCTCCTCCTCTCAGCGCGGGGAGCGCAGCGCAGGTGCCGGGGCCGCCGGCGGAGACCTGTCAGCGGCGGCCGGAGCCGCGAGTCGGAGGGAGGCGGGCGAGGGGCGGCCTGGGGCTCCCGCATGCCGCGGGGCGCTGGGGCTGGGGGGGGGGGGGGGTCCCGCCGCGGAGAGGATGGGGACGAGAAGGAGGAGGACGGGGAGGGTTCCCCGCTGCTGCCGAGGGGTCTCCCTCAGCGCCGGGGCGCCGGAGCCGGACAGTGGGCGCTGCGGTGGAGGCGCGGTCTCAACGGGAAGGGCTCTGCCCGGTGCGGGAAGGGCTCGGCTCGGTGCGGGAAAGGGCTCGGCTCGGTGCGGGAAAGGGCTCGGCTCGGTGAGGCAATGGCTCGGCCCAGTGAGGGGTACGAGCTTCCTCGCTGCCCGCGGCCTCCGCTCCTGCGCCTCGCGTTAATGTGGAAGTTGATTCTGTAATAGAGCGAGCCCTGTAGGAACTTGCTGCTGTGGTCACGGAGCTTTGCCGCTGGTTGTCTTAAATCACCCTTTTCTTTCGTCTTTGATTCTACAGAAACGGCACGGTGACACTCCTCATCGGTCCTGCCTCCCTGGAGCTCAGCATTCGCATTAGATTGCACCAAAATGTTCCCTTGCAGGGAAGGATTTTGCATCTTGGGAGCAGCTATGTGATGCATACAGCTTACGCAGTGCTCTGTTCAAGCTCACGGGCAATGACAAGTTAGCATAAGAAGCCGTGTCTGGGAAGAGAGAAACCGAAACGGGTGGTTACGGGGCCTGCTTCTGCCTTCAGAGAGGGGAGAAAAAAGCCAACAGCACTCTCAAGAACAGAAATAGGGCTTTGGTTTTAGCGTTTCTGATTCAGCCTTGCATTATAATGGTTACCAGCAGCTTCGTTTTCTTTTTATGGTCATCCTGGTTTCCTGGCTGCATGGCACTTCCACCGGGCCACTGCTCTTAATAATTTAACCTTTTATGAGATTGCTTTGATTTGCAGTGTAGATTAGAGCAAGAGTGAACAAGTATGATGTCACCCACCGGCTGCTAAACTCCTTTGTGCTACAGCAGAGGTCTCAGTTGCTTAAAATATCAAGAGAAAGAAAGGGTTTGGGTGGTGTTTTTTTCTTTTCCCAGCCAGCTAGCCATTTTCTCATCTTAGTTTTACTTAAGTGAAAAATACCATTCAGATACTGTAACCGTGCTGAGCTGTGCAAAGGCTATGCTGAGTCTGGGATTCGGTGGTTGGCTTGTTTGCTTGCTGGAGTCCTAAGTCATAGAAACGAGGTTGAAAATAGAATTAAAACCACAACTCAACATGTGCCTTGCCTCTGTTTGTTTTTTTGTGTCTAGTCTGGAACCCAGAATAGCCCAGATTGCCTCTGATTTCCAAAATTACCTTTGAAAATAAGCAGTGGGGTTTAACGCAGCCCTTCTAGGTCTGTCTCAGCTTCTGGACTTGCCCAGCTTATCAGTACAAACCATTCTATATGGAATTGGCCAGGTGTGACGTGGTTTACCCGAAACGCTCAGGTTTCTTCCGTAACTCTCAAAACAGAAGCAAATGTCCTATTAAAATTCAAACAAAGAGTCATTCTCAAGCAGCCTTTTCACATACTACAAGCTGGACCCGTCTTCCTCTGCTGTAACAAGTTTAGCTACGCAAAACTCTTCTGAATGAAGTCAAGTAGTTCATTTAGCTTTGGTCAACACCTCAAGAGAACCGGGGGGCTGGCTACAGCCGCACCGCATTCTTTGTGTGTACCCTGCGATTCATCAGCTGGTCTCCATCAAAAGCACAAAGCCTTAATTTATGTTCTCGGTTTTCCTGAGCCTCCTTCTAATCTTCAGGGCTTTGAGTATCAAGCTGCCTGGTTTTGAGTCACAAACCGTATCACTATTTACAGTTTCAAACCTCAGAGTAATTCTATGGGCTTGTCGCGGTGCCTTTTAACAACGCTGTGGCACCGATTAAGTGATGAGCAACGGGAGCCCTGAAGCCACGGTGAAGTCCTGCCCGGCTCAGTCGCCCGCTTGCTGTCAGAAGAGGGAGACCTTGCTCTCTCCTCCCTGCCCCGCCGAGCTGGTGCAGCTCACCAAGGCAGAAGGCTCTTCCCTCTCCCTGTTTGGGTTCGTTTCCTGCCATTTTGGTGAGGTCCAAGGGAGCTGCTGCAGCAGCAAGCTGCCAGGGTGGCTTAGCTGAAAACCTCCTGAAGCCTCCCGCCGCTTACAAAGAGCAGCAAAGCAACAAATGTCTTCTGGTATGTGCTATTGCTCTGTCCAGGTCTTGTTAGAGACTAATGAATTGAGAGCTGTTGGAGCAAGTCCAGAAGCAGCCACGAGGATGCTCAGAGGCTGGAGCACCTCCCATGTGGAGACAGGCTGAGAACATTGGGGCTGTTCAGCCTGGAGAAGAGAAGCTGCGTAGAGACCTCAGGGCAGCTTCCAGTGTCTGAAGGGGGCTGCAAGGATGCTGGGGAGGGACTCTTCATCAGGGACTGCAGCGACAGGACAAGGGGTGGTGGGTTCAGACTGAAACAGGGCAAGTTCAGGTTAGATCTAAGGCAGAAGCTCTTCCCTGTGAGGGTGCTGAGGCGCTGGCACAGGGTGCCCAGAGAAGCTGTGGCTGCCCCATCCCTGGCAGCGCTCAAGGCCAGGTTGGACACAGGGGCTTGGAGCAAGCTGCTCTAGTGGAAGGTGTCCCTGCCCGTGGCACGGGGTTGGAACTGGATGAGCTTTAAGGTCCCTTCCAACCCAAAACATTCCATGATTCTATGAATTCTATGTTTTTCTAAGTTGGGCTGGTTTAGAGATGAAAGAATTGCAGAAGTGACAGAGGTCTTGGATCATCCTGCTGGTTCATTCCTTTCTGACCCAGGACTGCTGTGTCATTATCTCCCCAAACACCATAGCTTTTACCAGGAGGCTTTGCCTTGAATTTGTGGCCTTTCCAGGAAAGCTAATGCTTAAGAAAATTTGGTGTGAGTGTGGTAGAAGGCAGCATACCTTTGTTCAGCAGCTGGAGTCATAGAATCATAGAATCATAGAATGGTTTGGGTTGGAAAGGACCTAAGGTCATACAGTTCGAACCCCCCTGCCATGGGCAGCGACACCTCCCACTAAACCATGCCACCCAAGGCTTTGTCCAACCTGGCCTTGAACGCTGCCAGGGATGGAGCATTCACAGCCTCCCTGGGCAACCCATTCCAGTGCCTCACCACCCTAACAGGAAAGAACTTCTTCCTTAGATCCAATCTAAACTTTCCCTGTTTCAGTTTGAACCCATCACCCCTTGTCCTGTCACTACAGTCCCTAATGAGGCATCCCTCTCCAGCATCCTTATCAGCCCTCTTCAGATACTGGAAGCTGCTCTGAGGTCTCCACGCAGCCTTCTCTTCTCCAGGCTGAACAGCCCCAACTTTCTCAGTCGTTAGAAGAGAACCCCATTAGGACTCTAATGAATCACTTTTATCAAGTATCCTAAAGTCACAACAGCCAAACAGATGTCCATCCAATTCCTCAGTTATGAATGCCTGTTTCCAGGTTGAATTTTGAATTGTGGCTGCTATCTTACAAAATAATAACCAGACCTTAATTATCCAAGTTGGTTGGATAGGCTTAGTTTCGGTTTAATGTGGAGATTTTGAGCCAGATAGTGTACTGGTACAGGAATTAGAAGCAAGTTTGGTCTCAGAATCTGGCATCCTCCGTAATGTGGAATGGAGTGTTTATAAGTGAGGTTGAAACCTGCTTAGTTCAAGTTTATTTACCTGAAAATAAAGAAAAGTCATTATGGAGATCTCAAGAACTGGCAAATACACCCTCTGCCACCCCTTGTTCTGGTGTATTCACTGGTCACCTCCTTGCTTCTTCATTTCCATCTGTGAGTATTCCAGCATGACACTGCTGGCTCTTTCCCTAATAAATTACTTGGTATCGTTTGAATCCCTTGCATTTAGTCAGTCATTTACTTTTGTCTCTTTGCAGGGATGCTCAGAAACAAAGCAAAGCCTGTGAAGTGCTTTGGAATGTTTTGGTCCAGAAGTTACAGATGGGACAGTTGGAAACAGTGATGACTCCGAGATTGCCTCTCAATGACACTGCTACTGTTTTGCAACCATGTGCAAGCCCTAGAGAGGAAAGTGAGCGGGAGACACTGGGAGCTTTAAAGGGGACATTTTTGCTTCATTTGCTTTGTGTCAGCTCCCTTCCTCTTGGATGAGGCACTTACACTCTCATGCTGTCAGGAGCAATCTGTGGGCATCTGCATGTGCATGTGAGAGATACAGTGACATGGACCATCCTGCGGGATCACATCCTAGTGAGCAGCGCTCCAGTTTGTGCGGCTTTCCACATGATGGAGAAGAAGAAATGCTTTATAGAATGCACTGACGTGTATTTATAAACGTACAATGCGTGTAGTATATACATCTATAAATTATATTCCATACGTTTGTTAATGGTGACTGCATAAACATAGAACACTCGTGTATCTTTATCAAGCATGAGTGAAAATCTCGTCTTTTAATTTTTTGACTCATTTCCAGGTTTTAAGCTGATGCTGTGGTTTGAGCTGTTCTGACCTTTGAAACCACTCACTCTGCTACAGCTTTTTGCATGAGCAGATCAGACAGGGCCTTACACTCAGGGGCCAGTAACACTGTCCCCATATTGCAGATGGGTAAACTGGGGAACAGAGGTGGTCCGACATCATCCAGGAAAGCAGCCACAGATGAAACCAAGTCTCCTAAGTCTGCACTGTGTTATGTCTTAAAGACAGACCCGTATCTTTCCATAAGGCTCATGCCCCACTGGAAATGATTGTAGCTTTGACTGACATGCAGGAAGTTTTGTTCTCCTGCTTT